GGAATACTTGGCATCTCTGCCAATAGACACCAGTGGGATGCCAAAGTATTTAAGGCAACAATTTGGTAAGCTTTGTTCCTTTTACTATGTCATTTTCGTACGGTCCCTTTTTAACTTCAATATATCTGTTTCAGAAGATCCTTCACTGCCACCGACCACTGGTCCGACCATATCTCAACCGACCGATCATCAATCACCCGAGGCACAACTTCCCATCAATTTATCCTCATCCCGATCAACTGCCGTCCCGACCAAAGAACAACCATCTGTGGTCCGGACCACAGAACAACTACATGTGGTCCCGACCACCACACAACCAACTCCCAGACAATCAGAGGTAAAAATGATTTTTGACATAGACAAACAAATATTAATTTTAAACAAAAACTTCAAATCTTTCACTGTAGGCACACCGACCAGAAGAATCGATGGGAAGGCTACTTCCTCCCCCAGCGTCGGATATGGTCGCGGTGATGCCCGACCAACCTGTTGTCCTCCCCGACCAAATTGCAGAACCATAACAAGTAAGCGCTAAACCCTTTTTCAATGTTGTCCTTTTGATAAAACTCTTGATACCTAAAACCTATTCCGACCAGGCACCCATTGAAAATATGGTATTGCCCGGACCTGACCAGGTCGTGGCTTTACCCGATCCACTTGTTCAACAAGTTGATGAGGTTTCTCTTGCTGCTCCCGAACCAGTCCAACCAGACCTACCACCCCACGATGTAGAGGAAATTTCCTCTTCAAAGTCGGGTGAAGCCTCCGTCAATTTTGCCCCGCTGGGTCTGGTTGGTACCCTTTCTTATCCATTTTTGATTTAATTTTCGCCCATCCAACGGTGCTGAAATTTTTTGTCTTTTGTTCAGGGTATGGAATTAGCAGCTGCCCATCATCTTCCACCAGGGGATGAATCAGTTGCTGGTCCAACTATTTGTCCAGTCAACCCCTCAATTTTCCAACTCATGGCCCCTTTTGAGGCTACGGCTGCCCTGAATCAAGTAAACTTCCAACCTTATCTCTCAAGAATTTTACCATGTCTCTTAGCTTGCTAATCTCATCCTGTTTTAGGCTACCCAGGAGATGAACATTTTGACCCGAATAAACCTCCCGACTCCCGTTAGAACCATTGTGGAACGCTGCGCCAATTTGGATTTTGCTGACTTAGAACTGGCTGACCTTTCGGCACTAGTCCAAGTCGCAATAACCCTATTGGTTCAACCCGCCTTGGAGTCAGGAGCTTCACCTGTTCTCGATCAGATGATGGCTAGGATCACCGAACTTCAAGCTGAATTTCCTCTTATCCGACCCCCATCATCTGAGGCGACTTCATCTCGGCTGATTGCAGATCCTACCAACATTGAAGCAGATTTGAGGAAGGCCGACCAAGACCTCAACATGGCTAGGGCCCGACTGAACGAGCTCCGACAGGAAAGACATACATTAGCTACGGAAATCTCCCAAAAGACTGAAGAACTTCGATGACTTCAAGAACGATTGGAAGCTCTAGATGACAGCATACAGGAAGGAAGCAGTCTAGTTGAAACACATTGCCTTAACCAAAACAGTCTTTGCGAGCAACTTCAAACAGCTACAAATGAGACTCGTCCAGAGACATCAAGAAGCTTACCAACGATGACGGGCCATCAAGTCAGAATTAAAATGGACCGACCTTAAAACTGCTTTACGGGCCCTTTCTCTCCATGTAATTCAAATATCATGTAAATTGCTTCAGACTTAACTTGTATATTATTAATTCCTATTAATTCCTAAGTCTAACAAGCAAACACAGATCCGTGTTTATTGCCTATTACTAAATCACCTAACTTAGAAACCAAATCTACCTTGCATGGTTGGTCTGTGCAACATTAGTCTGACCAAATCCATTTTAGAAACCACTTCGGTTTCTCTTGGCAGAATATAATGTTCCAACCGAGTGCAAGCAAAGACTAAAGAATAACACATTTTTTCGGGCATACTGTAATTCAACTCAGGTCCTGCTAAAGTTTTACTTAAATAATAAATGGCTCTTTCCTTACCATCTTCCCATTCTTGCACCAAAAGACTGCTTACCACATCAAAACTGTTCGCCAAATATAACCGAAGAGGTCGGTCGCCTCTTGGAGGAACCAACACAGGCGGATTAATCAATGCCTCCTTGATTTCTTCCAATGCCTTATGTTGCTCCCGACCCCAAGAAAAATCGGTGGCCTTATTCCGTAATAATTTTGTGATAGGTTTTAATTTCCCTGCGGTGTTTGATATAAAACGCCTTAGGTAATTCACCTTTCCCAAAAAACTTTGTACTTCTTTGACCGACTGAGGCGACCGCATTGTTAGAACATCTTTGGCTTTGTTCGTGTCAATCTCTATCCCTTTTTCATGTACTAAAAATCCCAAGAAATTCCCTGCCGAAACTCCAAAGGCACATTTCGTTGGGTTCATTTTCAGGTTGTACTGCTTCATCCGAATAAAAGCATTTTTTAAATCAACCAAATGTGAATCAAAGTCGGTAGACTTAATGATCACATCATCAATATATACCTCAATTGACCGCCTAATAAGATCATGAAAGATAGTGTTTATAGCTCGTTGGTAAGTCGCTCATGCATTCTTTAAACCGAATGGCATAACTGTCCATTCATAAATTCCCAACGCTCATGGGCACCTAAATGCAGTTTTGGGTATATCTTCTTCTGCTAATGAAATTTGGTTATACCCTGCGTATCCATCCATTAAACTCAAAATCCGGTGTCCCGCCGCAGAATCGATCAACATGTCTGCTATAGGCATGACATATTCATCTTTTGGAGTGGCGAGATTGAGATCTCTGAAGTCGATGCAAATTCGGATCTTTCCATTTTTCTTGGTTACCTGAACGATATTGGCTAACCATTCCGCATATCGACATGGACGAATGAAACCAACCTTTAGTAGCTTCTCAATTTCTTCTTTGATCTGGGGCATCAATTCTGGCCTCACTTTCCTTGGTGGTTGCTTGTAAGGCTTAAACCCATTTTTAATAGGCAACCTATGTTCTATTAAACTGCGCGCCAATCCGGGCATTTCGGAATAATCCCATACCAGACAGTCCTTATGATCTCGAATTAACGCTACCATTCGCTCCTGTTGATTTTTTGTTAGTAAACCACTTACCCTGACCATCTTGGGTATCTGTTTGGTTCCCACATTATATTCAATGAGAGGATCCTGACTTGACAGAGAAGTTTCTGTCTTTTCCAGGAGGTCAGGCCAGGGAAAACCTTCCCTTCGCCAACATTATTGTTGGAAATTTTATTATTATGTAATCTAACCATTAATTGGTTTAAATAGAATTGTCTAATCAGTTTATCACATTTATTTATTTCTTCCATAAATTAAACTTCAAGTAAAAGTTTATTTTGGCTAACAACAGAGCCATAAAACAGAAGATTGTTTCTAATGAAAAATACAACCCTGCGTAGTGAGCTTACAGCCCTTCCAGGGATACTCATCTACCATAGTTGTCTGTGAAATCGGTGGTACGTACTCCGTATAAAGAACCGATTCTTCCACTCCTTCTGTAGAGCCGAACGGATTTGTACTGGCTTCCATGGTGAAAATCTGATCTCCTTCCCAAAACATAATTTGTTGATGAAGAGAAGAAGGCACACACTTGGAAGCGTGAATCCAGTCTCGCCCCAATAAAATTGAGTAGGTAGTATTGGCATCCACCACAAAAAATACGGTCGAAATCACCTTTGGTCCGACCTCAATGGGTGCCACCATCATCCCTTCTGGTTTGGTCGGTTGTCCTGTGAAGCTCGTCATCTCGATGTCTACTGGAGACAAATCACCAACCTCTTTGCCCAATTTTCTTAAATTTTTGAGAGGCATGACATTGAAAACAACTCCATTATCGATAAAAACCTTGTTAACCGGCTTACCACATATGTGAGCGTTAACATAGAGTGGTTTTAAATGCGGGATTGCTCCTTCTGGAATAGGTGGAAAAACCATAGGTGGGGGTCTGCCAACCATTGTTGCCCATTCTGGTTCTTCATCCTCCTCGAACTTTGCCCAAATGGGTTCTTCTTCGACGAACCATCGCATATCCGTCATCCTGACTTCGAATCCTGCTTTATCAAGTTTTACTATCTTGCTGCGCAAAACTTTTGTCTCTTCTGGGGCAAATGATCCGAAAATAATCTTTGGGGTCTCTTCCTCTGCACTTTCTATTTCAGGATCAATATTGATCCGTTTGCAAAATTGACATCGAAAACATCTGGCCTTCTTGATAGGCTTGTTATTCTGCCCTTGCTCCTCTGGTTCGTCATTCAAGTCCTTCCTTTTGGGTGATGATTCATTCTTCTCCTTACCCTTATATGTTCGCTTTCCATGCCGCGCTGCATACCTGCGTTTAGCATTACGAATTTGTGTGCAATTCATACCTGGAAATCGAGGGTCTATGTCTATTGGCAGAGGCTTTCTGTTTCGGCTCCATTTCTCTTGGACTGGATGTGGTTTGCGTGTTGGTCGGTCCCGTACTACGACTTTATCTTTCAATTCTACTTTGAACGACCCATCTTCTCTATCCCATTTCTCTGCCACTCTAGTTTCACAAACTTTGAATTTCACTTCCTGATTGGATTCCCGTTCTTTAGGCTTGCGTTCTTTTCGTCTGGTGTCTTCTTCATCATCGCTTTGCACAACTTGTGAAGACCGCAAAGAGATCATTGCAGTAGTTACTTTTGGGAAGGGCTGATGCTCTACTCCCATTGTTACATATTTGAATCTCCCTGCTTTGATAGCCTTTTGTATTTCCTTTCGGAAATGTGTGCATTGATTAGTGTAATGGGTAAAGGAATTATGCCACTTACAATATGGCCTTCCCTTTATTTCATCCTTCGTTGCCAAACTTTGCCCTTTAGGAATGTGAATCTGCCCATCCGCCAATAGAATATCGAAGATCTCGTCGGCCTTGGATACATCGAAGGTCGGCTGCTCCCTCTCCTCTGTTCCTAGCAATGGCTTAGTTTCGAACATACGTACGGTTTGCCATTCACAATTTCAGTTGCCATCTCTTCAAGAATATTTCCTTCATCTGGCGAATAAATATCTGTATCAACACTAGCCATTTGCTGTACCCTGTTCCGACGAAAGTTGTGATCTTTTTCTCTAAACAAAGACTCCAATCTCCCTGCTTTGGAGGCCAGACTAGCCAAGTCTTGAACATCATGGGCTGTCAATGCCTCCCGAAGTCTGGAATGCATGTTCCTGACCACCAAATTGGTCATTTCACTTTCCTCGATGATTGTCGGGCATCTGCCTCTCATGAGTCGTATCCGTTCAATAAACTGATACGCGGTCTCTTCTGGCATCTGTCGGATCTTCAAAAGATCTGTGAGTGAGGCTTTCAGGAGAGGATTAAAAAATCTTGCATGAAATGCTGCCTCCAGACTCTCCCAGGTTTGCAACTGCCTGGGTGGCAAATTTGCAAACCATGAAAAAGCGGTCCTTGTAAGTGATAACCCGAACAATTGTAATTTATAGAAAGAATTATTGCCTACTTCCCCTAATTGAGCCGTAAAATGTCCCACATGCTCAATAGTTGAAGCCCCATCTTCTCCAGAAAATGAATGAAAATCTGGTGGTCTATAATTCCTTGGAAGCGGATGCTCGTTGATGATTCTTTCTGGAAATGGCCTCTGGTACGCAGGTCTGTTGATCGTCTGGGGGTTCATTCCAAAATGTACCCTCAAAACCTGAGCAATGTCCTCTGGGTCTACTCTGGGTAGGACATGATCCAACACCTGAATGGGATTGTGAGCCTGGCCTCCCAATCTTTCCCCTCTGAAGTCGGTAGGCTCGGTCCTAACACCCAACGGAATATTATTCGGGTATGTAAGAGGAGTCTTCCCTCTGTCAACCCTTGGGGCAGTAACACTTGGAAAAGTGCTGTCCACATATGAAGGCCCCGCAAAATTTGCCTGTAACCTGGATGGTGATAGTTCTGGTGGCGTCTGGATGGGTTGCAAAGTAACCCTTGATAACGCCTGATTTAACGTATTTTGCATAAGATTTTGTTGCTCCCGCAACATTTGTTGCTCGCGCAACATATTCTGCATGGCCAAATTATGCTGGTTGTTCAATTGCTGAACATAAGAAACCCAGTCAGCAGGTGTTTGTGGCATTTCTCCTGTATTTGGCATGACAGGTGGTGAAACCGTTTCGCCCACTGGCGCCGAAGATGATTGAGGCTGTGAACCTGCCATGTGGATCCTTCCGACGATTCGGCCGGATCTCAATCGTATGAAACTCTCCGTTGACGTAGAATCAGTAATCTTGCCTTTCTCCTACTGTGGTCGCCAAATTGTTGATGCGTTTTTTTAACAATAAAAAGTAAAATTCGAAAATAGAGAAATATCCCCGAATTTGATAGATGAGTGTCTGAGATTAGAGATCTCTAAACACTGTAGAATACATAAAATAAAATAAGGAAAAATAACAATAAAGACTGGAAAATAAAGTGGTGATCCCCAAAAGCAATTTTCTTGAATTTGATATCGATTGAAGATCCTTCCTCTGTACAGTACGGAATCCTTAAATAATCCTTTGAAGATACGGTTCGAACCGTTATCCGGTCGGTTACCGTAACCGCTGTTAATTCCCCCAAAAAGTTCTCTTCTATCGACACGTATGAGAATCGTCCTACCACGTCCGACCTTTGAAAACCGCTCGCCAGTTGAAACTACCCTCCACTATCAGAGACTGCTTTTTCACTTGATCTGCAGGATAGCTACTTTTACTACCTGACCTTTGAACTTGGTCCGACTTCAATGTCCGACCTTCTTACACCCGACCCTTGGAATTTGTCCCGACTTCACTATCCGAACTATTTAGTCCCTACCAGGTCCGACTTCACTATCCGAACTATTTAGTCCCGACCAGGTCCAATCTCATCATCCGTCCGACTTTCTTACACCGATCCTTGGAATTTGTCCTGACTAGGTCCGACTTCAATATCCGAACTATTTGGTCCCGACCAGGTCCAATCTCATCATCCGTCCGACCTTTGGGATTAACCCGACCAGGTTTTGACCTTAACATCTGACCCTAAGCTCATCCGACCCGGTTATTGCAGTCATACTTGGACTTTCAAAAAGCCCACTAGACGTTTCGAATAAATTTTAGCCTAATCTTGGTAGGCCCATTCCCTAAAAACCTATCCATCATTTTTTTGTGCTCAACAATTATATTGTATGCGTTTATATAATATTATATATTTTTATAATATTAATAAGAAGTACGCTAAAAATATTTTGTTGGATAAAAATATTTTATATTTATTACAATATAATTCATCCGTCTCGTTTTAAAGTATTATTTTTATCACTTTCGTCCATATCATTTTAAAGTATCAATTTCCTATTTAAAAAAAAATAATCATACATTAATATCAATATATCATTAGCTTTTACATAAATTACAGGAATACTATTACACATAAAATTACTTTACATATAAAGTCAAACGATAAAAATGTCAAAATCTCTTACACACTTCCACTAATAAATAAAATACTACTCCCTCCATCCCACTTAAATTGTCTAATTTAGTTTAGGCACGAAATTTTAGGTAGACGTATGGATATAAAGAAAAAAATGAACAAATTAAGTGGAACGAAGGGAGTATTATTTCTTAATTTACTAAAAACCCTAAAGGTCATTTGACATGAACCGAAGGGAGTAAATATTGGTATTTAATTTATGATTAACAAAATAATATTATTCGTCGTACTAAAAACAAAGTTTATATATATATATATATTCGTTATGAGTTTAATATGATGTGTAATTTTTTATAGTGAAAAAATAAAAATATAATTTTTCGTTTTTCTGTTTTTTTCTAGAAAAAAAAAAAGGAAACATTGGTGTGTTATTTTAACTAAAATATTTTTAACATATTTCTTAAAAAAATTAATATATTTTACTTATTTATTATTTTTATATTACTTATATATTTTTCGATACCTCACATAAAAATATCCATTCAAACTAAAACACAAAACCAATTATACTAAACAAAATAAAATTTTAGTTGAAAATGTTTGACCCGCCAACGGTCGAGGCTTCAGCATTAGACTACAACTTCATTTTCATTTCAAGTAAATTTATTAATTTTAAACACATTTAACATAAATAAATCAATTAAATTAAATTTACTTAAGACCTATTCAAAACTTTTTTATTTCTATCTCTCATCAATAAACAAATATTTTTATCTATATTTAAAATTTCTCATTTTATTATAGAATTAGTTTTAAGTTAATTATAAATAAATAATAATTTTTCTATGTATATGTATTATATAAAATTTTATTATCTACAAAATAGTATTCATATTATATATATTTTTGGGGGTATTCGCAATTTCTGTCCCTATATTTAGCCGTCTTTTCAATTTGTGTCCCTATAACATTAATTTCGTAAAAAATGTCCCTCTTTTTTACTAATCTGCGCAAAATCTAGTCTAAACACTAATTAGAAGAATATTAAGAGTAATTGAAGAACGCCGTTGACGGAGTAATCACGTGCCACCCACGTGACCCTGCGTTAGACCGAACCGGTTCTTATTAGACCCGGTTCTCCACCGAACCGGTTCTGTTCAATCCCGATTCGGTTCAATCCCGATTTTGTTCAAACAACTCCATATCTTCTCCAGACCGATCTCATTCCCCAATTTCTCAGTCCAGTCGCGAGAAGCCCTAGGTCCTTCGAGCATCGCCATCCTTAAACGAGCTAGATTGAAGGTAGAGTTCAGTAGATCATTCCTCCAATTCTTGCCGGATTTCAGAGAATGAGCTCGACATTTTCATCCCGAACCAGTTTCTCAAGAAATCCGCGGATTGTAGAGTCCCCAATCGAGGATATTCCAAAGTTGGTGTGTAGATGTGGATATGAGATCCCATTGCTTACCTCATGGAGCACAAGCAATCCGGGTAGGCGATACAGGGCTTGTCCTAACTATGTGGTAATTTCATTTGTGTTTTTTTTAAAAGAAATTATTATTATTTTTTTTCTTCATTATGAAAATATTTAATTTATTTTAATTTTGTAGAAATGTGGAAATTACTGTGGTATGTTTGAATGGTGGGATGAGGAACCCACGGATAGATATAAGGAAGTGATCAATGCATTGGTGTCTAAAATTCATCGGCTCGAAAATATTCAGAAGCGAAAGAACATCATCGACGTGGATGACGATGTTGTTGAAGTTGAAGTGCAAGAAAACCAATTGATAAAGAAGCTAAATACATTGGAAGAAGAAGTTAAAAGGATGAAACGCCAGAACAACAAACATCCATCGGTGCACGTTGGCTATGTTAAACAACATAACAATTTAATATTACTTAATATGGGGGTATTGCGCTCATTTTTCTGATATTCGGCTTTATGGTGATAATCAACACCACCTCACCTCCGAAATTGGCTATCGTAAAAGGGTAATATTAGTGATAATGTGTTGCGTGATCCAGGTGTTGGATTGTTGTTGTTATATCGTAAGTTGAAATGTTGATGTATTGTGTCGGTCTATTGTGTTGTTGTAATATTTTTTGCTTGAAACTCAGGTTTGGATTCTCGTGTTGGAAGGAGCATTGCTTGTTATTGTATGAAGAAATGTTGTAGTAATATATTTCGCATCTTTAAGTTTGATCATGATCAATTCGTTTGTATGGAATGCGATTACAAATTGGAGCAGCTTGTGTATAGGGGGACCTGTGTTCGTTTGTATGGAATGTCAATGGTGTGTAATTATACAACTTAGTGCATGAATCAACCTATGCAAAAACGTAAAATGAACAACCACAATTAGGCAACAATTGATGAACCTGTGTGCATTGCCAAGAAAAAATAAAATTTACTTAAGAGTACATCACATAAACAAATGCCAATACCTAAATCCCTAAATATTTCAAATTGCATATCATATTGAAATATCAACAATCCATGACGTTCCCCATCAAAACATAATTCCCAAGAGTTTTCAAACATATTGATTCACAAGATCAAATGCAAATTAAGGGCAGTGAAATTTTATTAGGCGCATGAAGTTTCTACTTCTTCTTTTTGGTGGGTTTATCTTGCTTTCTTGGATTGGCTCTCTTTTTATCATTTGAGGCACCTCCTACCCTTATTTTTTTATGTTGGCTAGATGTGTGCTTCGATTGGTGCCACGACTGTCGTCCTGCCACCATCTACTGTATTGGAAACACACGATTGAAGGCTGGATAAGGTAATGAATGTGTTTCCTCCTTTACCAAATAACAGATGTATGAATGGTGTTGGACGTCGAAGACATCTACAAATAAAGTGGATTCATTTAGTACCAGAGTTGTAATAAAAATTGTATGTAACATTCCCAAGAAATGTTATTGTACTTTAATTGAAGCCATTTTTTTTCTTGGACTGATGCGGATTTTTGCTTTTGAATGAGCAGTAATGGTAGCCTAGAAACACAAACAACAGACTAGCCAGTGAACTTGTGAAATGAAAGTACATATAAGCAGACCATACAGTTACCTGAGTTGGTGTTTTTTTCTTCCTTGGCCTAGTGCATGATCTTGTTGTTGATGGAGCATCACCAATATCTTGTAAACATTGAAACCAAAAAGGACGGTTATCAAGTGAAATGGAATTGAATTGAAGTTTTACAAAGCATACCATTGTGAGATTATTCGACTCCCTAATAGAAGGCTGCGAGGATGCGTCAAAGCACTTTGTGTTCTGGACATCTCCTCCCAAATCCTCATTCAGAGCATTTTCCAGTCGCTCATTAATAGAAGCTCGTTTTGGGCAAGTTATAGAGTTGTGCCCAAAACTCTGACACGTTTTGCACCTAATTTTTCTAGGTGCACCCTTGAGTCTATATGGATTTTTTAATTTTGGAGGGGATTCATTGGGTTCTCTGCGTCGCATGGTTACTGGTGTTCCAACACTTTTTCAACTGGTGGGAGAGGTGCTTCGTTGACTGTTTTTTCCTATAAATCAGGTCCACTCAAAGGTAAGATTGGATAAGCATATGAATTTTGTATGTAGACAAAAAATAGCATTTGTGGACATAAGCCAATGGATCTTCTCCTCTACACCAAATTGCAGATACTGCATGTTTACATGGGATGCCTGTTAAGTCCCATTTTCTGCAATTACATGTTCTATCCCTCACATTAACTGTATGTTGGTCAAAAGATCCAGTAATCTGAAAATTTCAATCA